GGGGGGGGCTGTTTTGTTTTGTTTTGTTTTCGTGGCGGTGCTTGGCCGGCCTCGGGGCGGCTTGGGCTTTCCGCCGCGGGGGCCCACCAAACGCCCCTTGTTCTATAATTGCGAAGGTTTTTGCCGCCGCTAATTCTAAGAGTGGTTTTCATGAAAACCCCTGCAAGAATATTCGCGTCGGCGCTTTGCGCGTGGGTTGGCGCCCCGGAAACCGGATAAACAGCCATTTTGCACCCCGGCCGGCGCGCGCGCGCACACACGCAGCGCGGCTCGCAAAACCAGCAAAACAGAGCGAGCAAGAGAGGAGTCTTCGTAAGCTGTTTTTGTGCGCTTGTGGAAAAGGGAGCGATTTCCAACAATTAAATAGGCATTTGCGTTTGTTTTTTTTCTTCTGCTTCCGCTGGGGTCCGGGGGGAAGCGGATCTAGGCGAGCTTGGCTCGATGGGGGGCGCTGCTGCTGTTGGCATGCTGCGTCTTCTGTCCGTGGTTGGGTTGGGGGCCGTCTCTTTCACGGTTGAGGGCTTGAAGGGTGTTTACGATAATCTCACTCTCGAAGGACTCTCTGGGGTGTTCACCGAAGATTGAAACAAGATATTGCCAGTGTAAATTATATAAATGCTGTGGATAATAGGGCCATTTGAGAGGTTGTGAAGTGAATGCGAGTTGAGGATGGATGGCGCATGTTAACGGGAGTTAGAGCCTGTGCAGCATAAGCTTCTGAGGGGTGACACAAGCGACGCTGACACGGGTTCAGGGCATGGTGGCCACCTGATGTGCCTCTTGGAGAGGTGCAATAGACATTGAGAGGCTTGCTGGTGTGAAGTTTATTGAGGCAGCTGCGTAGTGCTTGTGCTGAGGTGCAGGGGAGAGTGAAAAATCCCAAAGAATTGTGCGGTAAAAGTACTGATAAGACACGGTGATCTAATCAGGAATCAGGTATGTATGCTGAGAGAAGAAGCATGGGGAAGTGTCCACTGTACAAGTTCTTCTGTTACTGATTGTCTGTGCTCTGCGTGCCATTTGCTGCGTTTTGCTTCTTTTTTTTTTTGGCTGAGTCAAGCAGCTCCTAGTAGAACAATTAATGCAATCGAAGAACATGAAGCACATGGAAGGGAAATCGCAATTGACGCATCTACGGTGTTGCAAGATACCAAAGAGCATTGGCAGTTGCATTCTCGGTGCAATGGGCCTCTGTGAACCTGTTTCAATCCTGCGTCGAGGCAGAAGGAAGACGAGACTGCTGGCATCTATGGGACTGCAGTTGAGAGACATTCAGGTGTTGTTTCTGGTACTGATGGTTGTGATTAAACCATTTCTTTCCTGTGCTGCTGCTGCGGCTGGTGGAATGGTCCCCCGAACGAGAATGGCCACGCCTGCAGACGACGACGATCCCTCGGTGACACTCACGAACTGCTTCCCAGCGTAATACTCAGTCCTTCCAACATCCCATACACCTGCGAAGTCAGCGATGCCCAAACACTGATTGACTTGAACCTCTCCGCCTCGTACTACACCTCAGTCCTCATCCCTGAATGGCCGGCGACTCTGGATGCGAAAGCCAATACCATTACATTCATGCCTAATGGTGGTGGTCCGTCTTCAGGACGTTGGGAATTGGTATTCACATCGTTTTCTAAAGTTGAATTAACAAACGTTCCTCTGACGACCAATAAGAGCATGGACTTCNACCTCTCCGCCTCGTACTATCATAAAGGAGACCTCAATCCTGGCTGGCCGGCGACTCTTGATGCGAAAGCCAATATCATTACATTCATGCCTAATGGTGGTGGTCCTTCTTCAGGACGCTGGGAATTGGTATTCACATCGTTTTCTAAAGTTGAATTAACAAACGTTCCTCTGACGACCAATAAGAGCATGGACTTCATGGACATCCGTGCGACCAATGCGGATTTTGCTACACTCTATCCATATTACGGTATGATCGTCTCGTGGGCACCCAATCTCCCGAGTGGCACCATGGCTTCCGACTACATGCTGGTCCGCTCTTTCAATGACTGCCGGTACACCACTACAACCTGCACTGACACTGTTGGGTGCTACAGAATGCTGCCACCCGCTCATCTTCCCCCTCCAGGCGAATACTGGCTCTGTGTGACGTCAAATGGCTGGAATGACCAATACCTTCCGTGGGATTTGAATTCTCTTGAGGTGAAGCTGCTGTTGGCCACGCCGCTGTACTTGACAGCTGGTAAGGACAGAAATGTCGTGCTGCAGGATGCGGAATCTGTGGTAAATGTGCCGGGGCGTGTGTTCCTGGTGCGGTGCCCTGGCAACGACTGCCCCCTTGTGACTACTGGCCGTGGGGAAGATGTGGTGCACCGTGATGCGTGTGTGAACACCTCCGTCTCGTCGCGTGTGTACCTGTCCGACCTCCGTGTGCTGTCTGCAGAAGCTGGTGTGTACGCTGTGTGTGTCGATGATGGTGATGGAGAGTACACTGCTCCCGCTGCGCTGCCGGTGACGGTGCTGGAGAAACCCTTTGCCTTCAAGATAACTGCTGACACGGACCAGAACACTGCTACGATTAATGTTACTGGTGGTGACCTCGAGTGGCGCAGAGAGCCGTACACTGTGTGCGCTGTGCCGCAGAGTGACACGTGTGATTCCGTGTCTGCTGGGCCTCGTGTGTGTGAGAAGAGTGGGTCCCCAAATTCATCAACTGTGTTTCTGGATCTCGCCAGCAGGGGAATGCTTGTTAAGGATGTGAAGTTCTGCTTCATCGCAGCCAACATGACAATCGGAGGACGCACCTACACGCACATGCAGGATGTGCTAGAGGATGTCTGGGAGGACGTGTGGGAGGATGATGGTGAGTCGACCACAGGAATGTCTGGTGGCGTCATCGCCGGGATTGTCATTGCGGGCATCGTTTTATTAAGTGTTCTGGTTGTCGCCGTGGTGTATGTGTTGCATCAGCGAAGGAAGAACAGAAGGGAGCCACCAGACTCTGGCACACCACCCTCGCCGACGGTGCCACACTCTGTGCCGAGGGAGTCAAATCCCCTGACAACTGTTTCGGCCGACACTTCCCCGCACACTTCCCCACCCACGCCTGCTCCTCCCCAAGACGACAGTGCTGTCCAGGTGCCTGTTGTTGAACAATCCAGCAACACAGTGGAGCGGCACATGGACCCNGCTGCCCAGGTGCCTGTTGCTGAGCAGCCCAGTAACACAGCGGAACGGCACATCGACCCCACAAATATGTAAGAGGGGATGGACGGGAATTCGGTTCCTTTGGCGGACACACACAAAAAAGAAGCGACAAATACAACAGGAAAGTGTTATATCTGTTAATAACAACGTACTTGACAACAAGACTACGAAGATGCCGACAGTTCGTACTAATGATAGTGACAAATCCATTGATTTTAGGGATAGGGGTTCGGGGGCTTGTTTTGAATGTCTTTTGGACATGATGGAGAATGGAGAAGAGGATGATGACTTTACCCCCCCAAACGATTTTCTTCCCGAATGCAAAGCGGACAACCAAAAACCTTATCGATCATGGGTTGAAACTTTTTGGATGGCTAAGCTACCAGAAAGAAACTCGCGTAATCTTTTTTCTCCCGGTGCGGAA